CGCCCCAGCCCCAACCCCCCAGCCCCAGTCAAGCTGTGCTGAGCCATGCTGAGCTGGGTGGGGGCCTCTTCTTGGAGCCCCCTGGGACCATCCTGGTGTGATGCTCCATGGAAACCAGCTCCACCAGTTAGCTGGGCTCTGGGAATGTGTGTTCCCACCCCAGCTGTCCTGTCCTACCCCCTCATCCCACCCTGTCCCATCCCACTCCCTCATCCCACCCAACACCCTCATTCCACCCTGTCGCCATGCTGAGCTGGGTGGGGGCCTCTTCTTGGAGCCCCCTGGGACCATCCTGGTGTGATGCTCCATGGAAACCAGCTCCACCAGTTAGCTGGGCTCTGGGAATGTGTGTTCCCACCCCAGCTGTCCTGTCCTACCCCCTCATCCCACCCTGTCCCATCCCACTCCCTCATCCCACCCAACACCCTCATTCCACCCTGTCCCATCCCACCCTGTCCCACCCCAACACCCTCGTACCACCCCATCACACCTTGTCTCCCTGTCACCGCTCCAGCCGCGTTTCCCTTCTCTTCCCTGGGGGCACAGGGCTCCCCAGCCCCACAGCTGCACATACACACACACACACCCACTCACACGTCGGTGGATGTGCACACACACACACGTATGCACATGCCTGTGCACAGTCACCCCCCCACACACGTGCATGCACATGGCTATGTGCACAACCCCGTGAGCAGGCTCATGCTCCTTTACCCCACACATGCACATGCGTGTGTGCAGCCCCCATGCACACGTGTGTGTACACTCATGCACACGCATCCCTGCACGCCTGAGCACACACACGGTAGTACACTCATGTGTGCACACTCATGCCCACCCATGCATGTGCATGGGCACAGGCACATGCACACAACAGATACACATACACGCACATGATAGGCATGTGCACACACATGCTGGTGTGCACACATGCCAGATATGCATGCACATGTGTGTTGGTGTGCACACACACGCTGGATCCATGTGCAGATGCATGTTGGTGTGTGCAGAAGCAGCGGGTGCCTGTGCACACCTGTGCATGAGATGAGCACACTACACAGTGGACACCTGCACATGCGTGCAAGGTGCATGTGCACCTGTGTGCAGGCCCCCTGCAACCATGTCAGGGTGTCAGTGGGACAGTGGGGCTGGCAGTGTGCCGGGGGGGACCCTGTGACACCCTGGCTCAGGGGTGGCTCAAGACATCCCTGTGTCACTGTGTCAGCACACACAGCTTTAAAAATTAATCTCCCAGCCAGCACTGTTGGCAGCACTGTCCTCAGGGTGTCCTCGGGCTGTCCCCGGGGTGTCCCCAGGGTGTCTCTGGAGTGTCCCCACCAGCTGCTGATGGTAACTGTGGCAACACCCCCCTGCCCTGGGAATGGAGCTGGTGCTCAGGGAAACTGAAGACCCTCCGGTCACCTGACAGCAAGGCTCTATTGCCCCTATTTCCCCCTATTTTTCCTCTATTCTCCTCTGTTTTTCCCCTATTTTCCTCCTATTTTTAGTCTATTTCCCCCTAGTTTTTCCCTAGTTTCCCCCCTCCCTGGCCCTGTATGGAATGGCAGTGGGGGTGCCGAGCAGAGAGCTTTAGGGGTGAGCAAGCAGCCCCCACAGCACCCAAGGGACAGTCCCAACCAGGGGGAGACCAGGGAGGGACCAAGGGGGAACTGGGGAGAAACAAAAGGGTGGGGACCTGGGGTGGATCAAGGGGACCAGGAGCAAACCAGGGTAGGAACCAGGGGGAAGGACAGGGTGCCCAGGTGGGCACTGGGCCGTTGCTCAGGCCCTTGCCACAGGAACTTGGCATTTCCCAGCGTTGCCCATTTCTCCCCACCAAGACTGTGGTTCTCCCTAAGGGAGATGTGTCCCCTCAGACAGTGGAGATGCTGAGCCAAGCCCAAGGAATCATTTTGGGCACCCAAAGCGTTTTCCTAGCACTTCCCTTCCTGCCAAGCCTGGGCTCAGCACCTGGCAGAGCTGTCATGTGAGGGGCCTGGAGCAGCAGCACCAGCACTAGGGACAACTGGAACAGAGGCTCCTGAGGCCTGGGCAACACGGGGTACCAAGGGGCACCTCTGAGCACAAAGGGGCACATCTGCCTGCGTGCCAAGGAGCACAGATGGGTGTGAGGGTGCACATGCTGGGGTGGGTTGGCACCCACCTCTCCGAGCTCAATGCCACCCATGTGTCCCACCAGACGGTGGAGCTGGTCCCAGCTGTGCCAGAGGCAGAGGCAGAGCCCGAGCCCATGTCTACACATGGGACAGCAGGACAGGCTCCAGCGTGTGACACCCATGCGTGTGTGGGGCACCCTCTGTCTCCCCTGCCACTTTGGTGCCATTAAATGTGTCGGGGGGGGGGGGGGGGGCCAGGCTTGC